ACTATCCTTGCCAAGAAAACCCCAAAAGGGGTCAAGAAGAGTCAAATACGACTGAAACAACTGAACGACAAGACCAGGGAATACTGCAAGTATTAAAGAAAAATAACTCATCACAGTTAAGATCTGAAGTACTGGTTATCTTACCACAGCATCCCAGTGGATGGAGTTTTATATATTTTTTTTGTCTGAATTGCTTGTAGGACATTCAATTCAAAATGTCCAACAGGCAGCTAGTGATATGACACTGAAGCTCAGGTGAGACTAGCATTGGATATATATAGATCTGGGAATCATGTGCCTAAAGGTGATAATTAAAGCCCCACTTCACCCAGAAATAATAACACTACTTGACATGTGACAGGGGAAAAAGTGCTTGTTGATTGATATATGTATCAGACTACAGTTTACAAAGTGTTTTCACACACATGATCTCATATCCACAACTGTCACATGGCTCTCTGTGCCATCTCTTGATGAATAAAGTTAGCTACTGTCCCCTAAGCTTCAACTTTGGGTATTAGGCATTTGACAGGGGAAGACTCTAGAATTTCCTTATTTTCCTATTAGGTGCAGCTAACAAAAACTTCAATGTTTGTTTCTAAGCCTATAATTTCATGTTAACCAACAGCAAGGTCAACTTCTATAGTTTGTCAAGACAATTACACGTCTTCAGCCACTGGTTTTCTGGGTGGGTGGGGGATCGAGGGGTGTTGCTGTTGTTGTTATTTTAATGTGGAGAGTCAGGTCAAATTCTTTTAAGTGATATTGGTCCCACTTGGTCCAACCCTTCACACTACCATCACCACCTCCACCCCCCATTTTCAGGTGTCTCTCAAGATTAGAGGCAGCCAACTGGTGAAGTGGATGGAGCACAGGGCCTGGAGTCAAGAAGACCTAAATTCCAATCTGGCCTTGGACACTTAACTAGCTGTATAACCCTGAGGCAAGTGACTAAATGGCTCCCTGCCTCAGTTTCCTCAACTATAAAAGGGTGATAATAACAAAACCTATGTGGCAGGGTTATTATGAGTATCAAATGAGACCATATTTGTAAAGTGCTTAGCACAGTACCGGACACTTAGTAAGTTCATAAAAATGCTTATTCCCTTTCCCTTCTCTTCAAGATCACAAAAAACAGTGACAGGGTCAGGGCTCAAGTCCATAGGTCATATCATGTATATATCTACCTTGCAAAGGTGGCATAAGACAGACTACATTGTAATGAATTTTGAGATTTTAGGAAGGAAAGGGCATTGTTGTAGGTTATAGCTATACTAATCAAATTACACAAAGAACACATCAGTTATCTTATCACATATACTATACATGGTGATAAATCATTTATCTATGTATTTATTGGCTACTAAAGAATACAGACATGTATTAATTAATAACCAAATCTAGGTGACCCCAGGTAATGTCTAACTCCATTTGGTAACATGCTGTCAGGAAGAAATAATCCAATCCTATAATAAAGCTATTTGCCATGAAGAATGAAGCACATAGACTGCCATACCAAAGCCACTGCCCATTTACCAGAGTACACTTAGATTTAGTCCAAACCAGTTACTGACTTACTATAAAGAAAACAGTAAAAATAAATAAAAAGTAGCATGCATAATTCAATCTCTCCCTCTCTACTCCATCACTCCCTGCTGTCTACAAATATGCCCAAGTCTCTCCCATCCTTAAAAAAACCTTTTAATCCTACCATAGTTCAAGCAGATCTATAGCTCTCTTTCCTTTAGTAGCCAAATTCCTTGAAAAAGCTGTCTACACTTCTTGCCTCCACTTTCTCTCTTCTCAATATTCTATCAGTCCTTTCAGTCTGTCTTGTAAAGTGCTTAGCACAGTACCGGGCACTTAGTAAGTCTATAAAAATGCTTATTCCCTTCCCCTTCTCTTCAAGATTACAAAAACAGTGGCAGGGTCAGGGCTATCTTAGGGATATCTTAATTGCCAAATTCGATGGCCTTTTCTCAATGCTCATCCTTCTTGACCTCTGATTAGCATTAGGAAATTTTAATCTCCCTCTCCTCCTGGATATTCTCTTCTCTTTGGGGTTTCATGACAATGCTCTCTTAGTTCTCTTTCTACCTGACTAGTCAATCTCTTTTGTTGGACCATTACATTGTAGGCACATAATTGTTAAATATTAATGCTTTTATTTTACTTCTTTGCCAAGTGTTGTACTGCTTCATTCTCATTCCCAATTTAAATGATGTTTTTCAAGGATTTGATGTAGACAACAGTTGGGAGGAGTCATACAGATGGCAGCCCAATTCTAGATTTTGGCTCCAAAGTTCTGCCTTCCAGAAATAATCATCAGGGTTGTCAAACTTATTCAGAGGGAAGGTTAGGCAGAGGACTTTGAACACCTTCCTCTGACACTTGGTTTGTAACAACATGAACTGGTTCAGCAGGAACTCCTACCTGCCCCCTAGCTACCCCTGATTCTTGAATGCACACTGCATTTTGATGGGGAGGGAAAGGGAAAAAGTGAACTCCCTGATTTACAGGCTTTTCTCCTCCCTTTTTGCTGAAAGCACTTTTAGATTAGCATTTGTAGAATGGATTGGGTTCATTGGCTGTAATTACTTTCTCTTTTGGTTAGTCCTATTCATTTCTACCTCTCATAATCCTTGTCTTCCTTCAAGGCTCAATTCAGGTGTCACCTTACCTGTAAAGCCTGCCTGGATTCCCCCAGTAGTTCTATTTATATCCCTTCTCAATTTTCCTTTTATTATTTATATTTATATTGGTGTTGTATTGTCTAGCTGAATATATAAGCTTCTCAAGGCCTGTTCCATTTTTTCTTTATATTCCCAGCATCTTGTATACAGTAGATGTTTAATAAATGCTTGCTGAATTCTCAAAAGGAATAAAGTGAATATCCCAATTCATACTCTTGCATGTTAGAGTTCATCCAGGTCTGCAAATTCACTATCTACTTGTTCTGCTGGCTAATCTTGAATTTGGGGCCTTGAGGCAAAAACTCTTTCCACAATGTCTACAGCATAGCAGGTTTTTATACAGAAGCAGCTGAAACTATCCTGTTCTTATATAAATGAATGAGAATTAGGTTGCCAGGCCAGAAGCAAAGCAGAAGCGAAAATGGTTTCTCCATTTACAGCTGAAAAGGACAAATAAAAAAATTCCCTTTCCTTGGCACCACTCAAGCCTCAGTACCAACAGCTGTGATCTTCAAGTTTCCATTCCCAGAAGTACTTTCAGGTGTCCTGCCTGGACTTTTAGGTCAGGAAAAAAAAAGTCCCTTGGCAGGTCACATCCTCTATAACCTGGCAGGAAAACCAGCTTCTCTCTGCTTCCATCCTCAGTCTTTGCTTATCTATTTCCTTGTAGGGAAGGGTCTGCATTATATAATGTCCGGTCTAGGGGAATTTTTACCATGACCTCACCCCTCCTGTTGCTGCCACTTAATAATTTTAGCATTACCGAGGCTTCTCCTAGTTCAGTAATCTTTGTGCACTGTATGTAAAACTTTCCTAGAGATGTAAAAGGCCAGAGTTAAAGTCCCATTGGTGCAGTGGATAGAGCACCAGGCCTGAAGTAGGGAAGACCTAAGTTCAAAGCCAACCTCAGACACTTACTATGTGTGACCCTGGGCAAGTCATTCAATCCTGTTTCCCTCGGTTTTCTCATTTGTAAAATGAGTTGGGCAAGGAAATGGCAAACCACTCCAGTATCTTTACCAAGAAAACCCCAAATGGGATCACAACTGAACTACTATATATTTTCTCAAAGAAATTTGAAGAAACCCTAAATTTGACGTAATTCCTCAAAGAAAAGACTGCTCAAATCCCTCCTTCAGCAAGATCCTCCCCCATTCCCTACGTGATGACCTCTCATTAACATGGTAGATATCTCGTATGTAGTTTTGTATCTTGTCCTTTTTTGTAATGCAGCTCTTTGACAGCAGGGACTGCGTTTTTGCCTTTCTTTGCATCCTCCACTGCTTACTAGTGTCACATAGTTGGCGCTTTATCAGTGCTTGGTAGTTGTCTTTCCACACATTTAAGAATGCCACACACAGCTGCCAACGTAATCTTAGGAGAATAATTCTGTGTTTTTTTGGGGGAAAGAATAGACAGACGGGGGTGGGATTGGGAAGTACTAGGATCAAGTGCTCCACGTACTGCAAGGATATCCAGAATAATTACATTGTGGAATCTGACAGCTTTTCGCACGTTTCCCCTCTAAGTCAATCTTTTCCCAACCCACCCGCCAAAGAATAAAAAAAAAAATTTATCCTTCCCTTGAGCGTTTGCAACACTTCCGAAAACCTACAGCCAATTTTCGTGGGAATCAGGAAAGGAAGGACGGTGACTTATCATTTAACCCAAGGCATAGGGAGTAGTTCAAGCAAACAACTACCTAGGGCGCTGAGATACCCGCCTGGGCTCCAGAGCGAGCTAAGGCAGCACCCCACTTCAGACAACTTCCTCACTCTAGATGAACCGGAGAGTCGCAAAGGAGTCCCGAAACCCGCGAAGGTCACGTGACAGGCTCCTCTCCTCCGGCCTCTCCCACTAGCTCCAGCTCGCTCGCGACCCGTACAGGCAGGTGGGGAGGCGACGGAGGGAAACGAATAGCGAAGCTGTGCGCGTTCTATCCCTCGCAGAGGAGGCGGAACCCAGGCGCCGGGGTGCGCGCGCTCGCCGAAGGAGGAACTCATTACGCGCGCGCCGTCGCCCGCCCAGGAGGAAACGAGGCTCGAGAGTGGGAGTGCGCGCTCGCGTCTTTCCCTCCCCCCTCCGTCTCCTCCCCCTCCCCCTCCCCCCTCGTCCCGCCCTGCCCTGCCCTGCCCGCCCAGCTCGATTCCTCCCGCCTTCGTTCCCTCCCTCCTCGGCGTTGGGGCCGCGCTCCCTGCTCTCGAGCTGCGGTGCCCGGCCGGCGGCCGCCGCCAGAGGAAGAGGTGGAGGGCGGCGGAGGTGCGGACGGCGGCGGCGGCTGAGGAGGAGGCGGAGGAGGCCGCGGAGGCGGCGGCGGCGGTAAGATGGCGGACTTCCTGCCGTCCCGCTCCGTGCTGTCCGTGTGCTTCCCGGGCTGCCTGCTGACCAGCAGCGAGGCCGAGCAGCAGCGCAAGTCGAAGGAGATCGACAAATGCCTGTCGCGGGAGAAGACGTACGTGAAGCGGCTGGTGAAGATCCTGCTGCTGGGCGCCGGCGAGAGCGGCAAGTCCACCTTCCTCAAGCAGATGAGGATCATCCACGGGCAGGACTTCGATCAGCGGGCCCGGGAGGAGTTCCGCGCCACTATCTACAGCAACGTGATCAAAGGTAGGGCCCAGGGGGTACCTTGTCAGCCCGAGGGCCCGCTGACCCGGGGCGGGGCGGGGCGGGGCCGGGGCCACGGCGGATGGGGCCCGCAGCGGCTAGGCCCGGGAAGGGGCTCCCCGCGGGTCCCGCAGCCGCGGACTCTGCCCCGAGCCTGGCGCTCCCGAGGGGAAGGGGAGTCTGCCCGGGCCCCGTCTTCCACCCTCATGTTCCCGAGTGGAGGCCGCCCGCCCCGGCCTAGCCTCCGAAGGGAAGTGTGGCGGGGTGGGGTGGCTCGGCGGGGAGCCACCCTCGTTGTCAGTGGAAGGCACCGCGCGGGACGCTCCTCTCGGCCCCACGTTGGCCGCCGGACACTCCCCACCCGGCACCGTTCCCCCTCCTCGCGCTGACCGCTGTCCTTGAAGTTCTCCTCATTTCCGAAGTCCGGGTGCTAGAAGCTTAGTAAAGAGCCCTGGCAAAAGGAAAACTTTGTCGTTTGTTTGTTTGTTTGCATTGGAGTCTCTTCCAGAGCGGTATGTGTCTGCCTGTGGGGGCTCCTTGTGGGTTGTCTTGAGCTCTTTTTTTTTTTTTTTTAGGTTGTCAGACTTAGGCTGTGATGGTGGCAACCAGTTTCTGTAGACAGAGGTGTTTCGTCCCCCCGAAAAGTCCTAATAGTGGTTATTCCATTTCGTCTCAGCTATTTGCACAGTCCCAAATGCTTGTTTGCTTTCTATAATGCCTTGGTGTGGACCTGTCCACCCAATTGAGCCACAGTTTAATTAGCACAGTGATTGGCATATATATAGGAATCGCTCAATAACTGTTTTATGTAATTGAATTAGGAAAAAAGAATGTTAGGGTCCGTTGCCCCTCTTTTATGCAGCCACATTTTCAGATTGAATAAAACGATTTGGCAGGATTTTGTAGCAGAAGCACTAGGATCTAGAGCGAAGTGACCTTAGAAATCACTTGGTCATCTCCCTTACCAACCCCACTTTGCAGATAAGAAAACTGAGCCTCAGGGAGATTAAGTGGCTGACCTAAGGTCTTACAGATAATAAGTAGGAGAGATGGGATCCTCTGGTTTCAAATTCTGCTTTGTGCTGCATCATGTTGATTTATTTACTTATGTTCAAAAATACTTTTTGTGCCTGTTTGTCATAAATCCCCTCTCCGGAAAAAACAGCCTATAATACTTTTTTTTGACTGACTTTTTTAAAAAAGGATGTTTTTAGTATGAAGGAAGTTCGATGAAATCGAGATCAAGTGCATTTGTTGCCTACAGTCTACTAGTTTTGGTGTTTTGAGATTTCCTTTAATTTATGTAATTGTTCAGTAGCTACTTCAAGTAGTCTTGGATTTCAAGTTTTTTAAAGCAGTAATTTCTTAGTGGAATTACTTAAGAAAAGTAGTAAAACAATTTTTTTTTCTCCCAAAGTTCTTCTCAGGATAATAGATTAAGAAAGTTAAGTTAAACCTTAGCATACTTCAGACTTTTAGCTTCCTTGTATATATACTTAGCCTTCCTTGTTTGAATTCAATCAAAATAAAAACACTCCCTTTCAGTCCCTGAGAATTCCACCCCCCTTTTTTAATTAAAGTTTGTTTTTTGAAGAAAAGGGTTTAACATTCATATCTGAAATTGAGTAAAGCTAAAGTAGGTAAATATTATGTAGAAGGTATATTAATAAATGGATGCTAATCCTTTTACCTAGTCATCAACAGCAATTCAAATGACTTTTTAAAAAATGCCCAGAAGGCTGGTAGTATCTTTGACCCACTATTCTTGGTCTTGTCTATCTGAATGAGTTCATTTTCTGTGTATTCTGCAGATGAGTCCCTGGAATCTGGGTTCATAGCTATTGAGATGGATCGGAGGCTTAGTGATTGAAATACTGATTTTTAAATAATGTAGGCCTAGGTTCTATGAATTGAAATCTCTGTCAGTTACCCTTAAGCAGCCCTTATTAAAACACACACACACACACACACACACACACACACGCACGCACGCACGCACGCACGCACGCACGCACACGGCAGCTAGGTGGCACAGTGGATAGAGCCCTGGCCTTGGAGTCAGGAGGACCTGAGTTCAAATTCGGCCTCAGACACTTGACACTTACTGGCTGTGTGACCCTCGGCAAGTCGCTTAACCCTAATTGCCTAAAAAAAAAAAAAAAAACCACACACTCTCTCTCTCTCCTTCTTTTTCTTTCTCTCTCTCTAACTCCTTTTCAGGGAAGACTCTTTGCCATTCTGTTAACTTGAATTGATCTGACCCAAACAGGAAGCACAAAGTTGACTTGATCTTGGTATTGATCAGTGTTTGGGAAGCATCGAATAGCTTCAGATCTTGATTCTAGTTCTTCTCTGAATAAGTATCTTTTAAATTAGACTTAAAATTCAAAATAAAAACAGAAATGTTTTTTGAATTGAAATTACTGCCTTGCTCTGCCAAGGTGTCATTAAAGTGTCCATTAACAGAAAAGAGTGTTTGATAAAAACATTTTTCTCAACAGTTTTTATCCACTCCAGAGGTTATTTTATGAAGTGATTTGATTTTATTCAAAATTCTTTACAGTAAAAGGTAATGTAAATGAAATTGTGAACACTTAGTTTTATCTATAGGAGTCTGACTAACTTAGTTTACTCTGGGTATTTGTAGAGGAGATTTAATCAATAGCAATTTTAAAGGAATACACAAACATTTTAAAGTTTAATAATTTCATTCACCTTATTTATTTTTTAAGGTGTGAGGGTCCTTGTAGATGCTCGAGAGAAACTTCATATTGCTTGGGGAGATAAATCAAATCAAGTCAATGGAGACAAAATGATGGCTTTTGACACTCGATCGGCTATGGCAGCACAGGGAATGGTGGAAACTCGGGTCTTTTTGCAATACCTTCCTGCAATAAGAGCATTATGGGCAGATAGTGGTATCCAGCATGCTTATGACAGACGTCGAGAATTTCAACTGGTAAGAAATACTCTTTTAAAATGTTTCTTGTAAAATGATTAGTGTCTACTATATAGCAGCACCCCCCCTTTTTTTTAACTGAAGTATAGCATAATGAATCTATCTAAAATCCTGATCAATGAAATTGATGACCTCTGTTGATGTTTTTGTTATTATTGTTGTCGTTTTACTAAGCAAAGAAAATAAAGTGAACCACAGGGCTAATGAAATTGGAGTGTTTAAAAAAAAATTTCTTTTTTTTTCAAGGGAGGCTGTAATATCTCTTAAGGGAGAACTTCTTTAAAAAAAAATTACATCTTTTATTCTTGTGGTAGATAACAGTTAATGTAATTGCTTTGGTCCTGTTCCCTGTCTTTTCCCTGTTCACCCTTCCCCTCCTCCCCCATATATGTTGTTTGTTGTTCATTCATTTTTCAGTTGTGCCTGACTCTTCATGACCCCATTTGGGGTTTTCTTGGCAAAGATAGTAGAGTGGTTTGCCATTTCCTTCTCCAGTTTTTTTTACAGATGAGAAAACTTGAGGCAAACACGATGAAGTGACTTGCCCACGGTCACACAGCTAGTAAGTTTCTGAGGCCAGATTGGAACTCAAGACAGAAGAGTGTTCCTAAATTCAGGCCCAGCACCCTTATCTACTGAGCTGTGTAGCTGTTCTGGCTCTCTATATAGTAGGTGCTTAAATATTGTCAAATTCAGAAACCCTATTTTAATGCTTCAGTTAGCCCTTTTGCTTTGTGTTATAGATTTTTTTTTAATAGTAGCTTTTTATGTTAAACACTTTATTTTTTAAAAATTTTTAATCAATACTGATATGTACTTTTATTGATAAATCACATGTACTATAGATAGTAATAACAAATTAGAATATGTGTGCCATGTATCACAGGTAAGAATTCATGGTAACATCTGTAACCCTTCCTTGGGCCAAAATGAAATCCCTCTATGAAAGAGATTATTAACTCGAAGTCCATGAACTTGTTTTAAAAAATATTTTTACAACTGTTTCAATATAATTGTCTTCTTTTGTTATTATGTGTATTTTATTTTTAGCATTTAAAAATAGTATTCTCATCTATTAAGCTTCACCAGACTTCCAGAGGGGTCCATGAGATGTGAAAAGGTTAAGACTTGCTGTTCTGTGATTTGTAGACAGTTTTTTATGACAGGCTGTGACCAAAAAATTTCCTCATTCTGTGGCCAATTTGGTGATGATCCTTGATGAATTCAGCTGGATTGGTCTTCCAAAGTCAGAAATGTAGTCTGGCATTGTACTTTTATTGGAAGCTCTTCTTGATTGGGATAAGACCTGTAAGACCTTGGATTCCATGGCATAGTGTTTGAGGACCTAAGGTCACCTTTGTGTCACAATGAGATATTGTAGTAGAAATTATTTATTTCCTTAAATATTGTTCCTAAGTTTTCAAAGGCAAAAAGTCCCTCTAATCAAATCAGCAAGCATTTATAATTTACCTGACATGTACTAGGCACTGTGCTAAGCACTGAAGATGCAAAGAATGGCCAAAAAAATCCAGTCTTTCTCTAGGAGTTCACAGTCTAATATTAGCAAACAATTATGGACAAATTGGAGACAATTTCAAGAAAGGTACTAAGATTTAAGCAGGACCAGGAAAGGCTTCTTGGAGAAGGTGAGAGACTTAAGTAAGATTCAGAGGAAACCAAGAGGGGAAGATGAGGGAGAGAGTTCCAGGCAAGGGGGACAGCCAGGGAAAATGCCAGGAGTGGGAAGATGGAGAAAGAAATCCTTTGTAATTTAGTTGTGAATGTTTTAATTATATTTTCCAAAAAGTGAAAAGATTTCAAGCGATATCAACCTAAACTCTTTTTTAATGTAGAGGTGATTCCAGTCTAAAAAATGTTACTCTGAAATAAACTATTTGATAGTTGAAACATATTTAATAATACTATTGACTATTATCTGTTACAAGTAGTCCCAAAAGTCTCAGTGCAGTTTTAAGCTATTAAAGTCTTAATAGAGATTTTTTGGGAAAAGTCTCTAAGACTTTAATTTATTAAGACTAATAGCTTAAAACTGCACTGAGACTTTTGGGACATGCTGTATATGTGTGTGACTGTAAAATGAGGTGCAAACCACAGTCATTTCTAAGCAATCTGGCCTATTAAAAGTTCTTTCAAAGTATTGATGACAGAGGAGGGGTAAGAGGTGTTTTTTTTTTTCTGCACTCTATAAAATTTACTTCATCCATACAGTCTAGCTCTTAGTTCTATAACCTTGTGTCATTTTCTTCTATTATTTCAGTTTGTAAAAGTTTTTTCTCTTCAACTATATTAATAAGTTCTCAACGGAGACTAGGAGTAAAAAATTTTACATTCCTTTCCAGTCTTCTCTAATTTGTTTATAGGATGACCTTATATGAGAACCATCGTGGTGTAATGGATAGAAAGCTGACCTTGAAGGCCCAAAGACTTAGGTTCCAGTCTTGCCTCTTGACACATACTGTCATTGTGACCCTGGGCAAGTCATTTAATCTCTCACTGCTCTGGGTAACTCTTTGAAGACTGTAAGTTGCAGAGAAGGTGCAACACAGCATTGGTAGCTGGAGTATCTTTCTCTGGGAGTTTCTTATGCTAATGGAAATCACAGATTCAGTCCCTGTCTCCATACTTTAATAACCTTGGTTATAGGTATGTAACCTGTAAATAATATTTTAAAAATTTGTTGAGGCATTAGACAGGGACATTATACAGAATATTTTTCAATTCAGCGAATATGTATTAAGAACCCACTTTGTGTGGGGCACATAGAAAGGCAGATTTTGTGACAAAAAATTACCTCTGTTGACAAAGGGATAAGTGTTCAAAGGGATAACTAGCCAAAGACTGTCAGCTATATGAGGGAAAGGGGAAAGGATCATTTTTTCCATTTACCTTTAAATGATTTTTAAAAGTCATTTTTGCTTTCTTAAGTTAATAAAGTTGGAAAACTGCACAAGACTTACAATCTTTCACTTTTTAAATTGATGCCCTTTATTTTTTATATCACATTTATATCATATATACCCCTCATGCACCAACTCACCTTTTCTGGGGAGCCTTTAACAAAATTTTAAATAGAAAAAAATACATTGTAGCCAAGCAACATATTGAGTAGATGAGAATTTAAGTTGTTAGATTGAGAGATGAAAGGTAGTTTAGAATGTTTCATAGGAAAGAATAGTAAGGGTTTTGTACCCTGCTGAATGGGGCAGGGGGAGAATGTATTTTTCTAATTTTATGTTTTCACTTTTGGTTGTTAGAGACTTTCAGTTTTAAAAACTGTGCTATAGTTTTAGGAAGAAAATTATTAGCTTGAGAGAACATGATTTCTTGAATAACCATAATAAAGATTATATAGGAATAGCAGCTGGACTGTGATTTCATTGGTGTAGGGAACTCCCAGGTGACAAAATTGCCTCTATTAATGCAAGAGTACAAGAGGTTAAGTGACTTACCAGGTGGATTGTACAGCTGTCTCAAATAATGAGGTTGGGCCCCCCCCCCCACTTACCAAGGCACGCCCCTGCCATTCTACATACACAAGTGAACACATTCCATCCCATCTTCTCCAGCAGATTTCCCCTCTATCATCCCTACTCTTATTTATCTTTAATCTCTCCCTGCTTACTGACTGTTTCCTTCCTGCCAATAGACATGTCCATGCCTCATTTGATCTATCCATCCTTCCCTCCTATCTTCCCATCCTTATCTTCCCTTTTATGACTAAACTTCTTGAGAAAGCTATCTACTATTTCTACTTTCTTTATTCTCACTATGTTAACTTTCTATGGTCTGATTTCGGATCTCATTCAGCTGAAGCTACTCTCTCCAGGTGCCCTCTGCCACCTATGGAAGATGAATTGGAGAGGAGAAAAATTGGAGGCAAGCAGATGCATTGACTTTTACAGTAGTATAGATGAGGACCTGAACTAGGGTAGAGGCCATCTAAGTAGAGAAAAGGGGACTGATGTTCAGGTATGTGGAAGTGGAATTGAGGACACATGGCAATTGATGGGATATAGGAGTTAAAGGGGAGATCGAGCTGTGGAGGATGCATAGGGTTGCAAACCTATATGGTGGTAGTGCCATAAATAGAAATAAGGAAGTCTATAGGAAGGATGGGCTTGGGGAGAAATACCATGAGTTCAATTTTGGATGTTAAGTTTAAGATTATTGATATTAGTCACAATTTTAAAATAAGAATTTGATAATAATAATTTAACAAGGTACTTAATAGTGCCTACCATGTGAAAGAAGACAGAAATGAAAATCTGTGCCCTGGAGAAGTTTACATGTTGCCTTATAGTATTGTTATACAGAACAGGTTAAAAATTGTTTTACAACATCTGGCCAACCCATTTTTTAGATAATATGTACAGGTTCCTCCGGTACTTCACCTCAGTGTGTACATTTATATACACATGTATCCATATACATATGTGTATCGCACATGTGTACACATCTATACATGCACCTACTTGGAAATAATAAACCTGTAATTATTCAATTGGAAAGAGGTAACTTTTCCTTTAACCTAATAATTACATTGTTAGAAAACAAGAAAGAACTATTTCTTAAAAGATTTTCTTCACAACATTGAAAGCAAAAAGCTGGGGAAAAATCTAAATATCTTAACAATAGGGACTGGGTAAAATCAGAATTTTATGGTATTGAATAGACTAATACTGTAATACAATTAAAGACTGGTATGAGAACTCCAAAGAAATCTGGGAGAGACTTTTAAAAAATAATGCAAAGCAAAAAAAAAAAAATCTGAATCAGAATAATGGAGTACACACTTAAAATTACTACCATATAAGAGGAAAATTAAAGAGGATGAATTTTAGGAGAGGAATGACTGAGAAAACATAAATTTGTATTTAAAATTAATTTAAATGCAAATAAGAACACAATTTGAAGAGAAAAGATACCTTCGTAATTCAGTATTGCCCTTTGACTTAGACATTATGATTTTCTCTGACACT